CCAAGAATATCATGGACATTTTTATTTATATTTGCGCCAGTTATATCGACCAGTCAGTCAGTTTTTATAACAGCCTATCCTCTAGACAGCGTTGCGCAATATTCTGTTTTCCAGACGTCAGTCACTATTGCCTGTCACTGAATATCGCTCGAGAATTTCTGATAAACTGTGAACAGCACCTGTTAGTAATCTTGGTTCCTCACTCGATGAAGTGTCAAATAGAGAACCGAGAGGTTTCAGGTTTAGCCCCGGTCGAATCACTCGCCTTTCGTCCTTTTGAGACCAATAAATGAATAACAACATGTAAGAAGGAAACGGGAGACCACAAATTATGTTTGTCACTTATTTGTTTTAAATTCGTTTTTAAAATAACACACTTCTGGCTAATGGCATGGTAATGGAGATCAGCGCTCCACCATTAAATTTATGTGAAAAGAGGGGTTCAAGAATTGGCTTCAACATGAAAGTGTGCAGAAAATTCATCAACATTGCCGTGGTTATTAAGTTTACTTTCCTAAACGTCAGCCGTTGGTACATCATTGGACATATGCTTAAACTTATTTTCTTTACGTTTCTAAATATTTTTGATTACTTATCGTCGATTGTATGAAAGGCTTACTTGGAAGGTCATCTCAGTCAAGCCAAATCTGATTTTTTCCCGTCTTTGTAGGATAACAGCTTTAAGAACAGCATCGGCGCCTACTGGAAGCATCTGAGTGCTGTTTTGTTCGGCTGCGCGTGTCTGCTGATCTTCGACGCATGCGAGCGTGGCATTCATCTGACGAACCCTTTTTTCAGCATTTGGTCAACGACGCTTGGCTCTAACTTGGCGGTAGGTGTAAAGCAGTGTAAAGTGATGTAATATTATTATTAATGACAACTTTTCGTTTCCAGTACACCTTCATCGTGCTGGCCGCTATTTCAGCGTGCGTCTATTTTGCCTTTTTGTTGTACATGATAATCCGTGTCGCAAGAACGATCAACCGTAAGCGCAGCTCTTTGGAGATAATGAAGCCGAGTCGACGACTGCGGGTTCAGGTACACTTTTAGCAAAAATTTTCTAACGTAAAAAATCTAATCAAAAAAGTTATACTGTAATAGATTATGTTTTATCGGTCTCGTTTTAGTCGATCATTTATCGATTCAAGTTCTTGATGCTGCTGACGCTGGTTGCCGCTGCTTTAACCGTGTCTGCTTTTATTTTCACTCAGGTTAGTGTCGG